CTGTGCTGAGCCTGTGGGATAATGTTGTCTAAGAGCGGTTTTACACTACGTCCGATTAGAATCGGCTCCAAATCAAAATTCGATACGATAATGGTTCTACGCCTACATAGTAAAATTAAAAATGTAAAAATACCTATAACACTACGCTTAAATATAGAAACATATTGAATTAAAATTATCGCAATATATATATTTCTTTATTGATCAGCAACATTGACATCTTACGCCCTGTGAGCTTCAGGATCTGAAATAAGTTCATTAACCTTGAGAAGGTGTAAAATATCTTCATCGAGCTCCTTAACATTTTTTGCATATGGTTTTCTTATGCTCGTTATATATGGATCTGAGGTGTAAAGTAGTGTATTCAACACATCTTCGTTTGTAGCTATTCGAGAGAATTTCCGAGCATGGTGTAAGCGAAATTTTTTATAGTCCTTATTGCGAGATTCTTGAGCATCTTCTGAAAGTTGTCCAATTGGTAATACTGCGAAATGGTTTATGATACTCTCTCCGTGAATTAAAATTTTGTGGACAGATGATGGCATGTAATACCAACTATATTTACTCACGTACATTCTTGCTGTTTCCAGAGCATAATTACCAAATTTCTTACTATCTACCACTATACCAGATGACAAAGCCTGCAAAATTATGTATAACCGTTTAATTAAATCAATGTCAACTCCTGTGATATCAGCAGAACAGGCAGCATTGTAAAAAAATCTTCTAGCAGTATTGCCATCATTACTATTTCCCGTCCCCTGTCCTGGTTTGTCAATATTTAGACCCAACTCTTCACGAAATCGCTTCTGTACTTCAGCCTTTTTTTCTTGTTTGAGTCTTTTTTTTCTTCGCTTGTAGCAGACCACGTTTGAAAAGATAGATTATATGATATGTGTAATATTATTTCCATGCAACGAATCCAGGCATGTAATGTGGATAATCCGTATTGATAAGCATTTTCATTTTCAGGCCTGGCTGTTACTTTTGTTAAATCATTCATTTGTCTAGGAGTTGCTCCGCATATTGTACATGTGGAACTAGAAGGACTTAAAACTTGTGCCACTTTTCCGTCTATCATCGTCAAAAAAAGTTTATATTTGAACTCCCACGCCTTCTTTATAAATTACTGATGGAAGCAAAGTTTGTATTTGATTTTTTATTTCATCTACAACAGATTTAGTTTTTTCTGGTGTTTCTTTGCAAAATTCTATAGATATAGGCCGACAAAAACGAACAGATGAAGGCACTGGATTTTGCCATATGATGGCGCCTGTTTCCTCGTCAATTAATCTAATAGTCACAAAAGAAGTAATAAATAAATTTGCATCGGAAATAAGTTCAGACTCCTCTGGTAGAGGTTGCTTGTACTGGCTTTGTCCAGATGACCCATCACAACCCCATTTGCTATATAATATTAAATGTTTTTGTCCATTCTTGTAAACTGTATCTATACATAAAATTCGAGCTGCAGTGTGATCTAATAGATCTTGAACTCTCAATATTTTTGCAAAAGTATTTGTGATTTCGATTTTTGATGATTGTGGATAGCATCTCTGTTTCATTTCTTGTATTTTGTAGTATGGTGGAAATAAAGAACAGTTTCTTTCATCTGTAACGTTCCTGAGATACAGATATTGTACCTTTGTTAGTTCCAAGTCGATGAAGACACTTAAGGCTTCTTCATCTGTAAGCCCTTTAATTATTTTTGCATCATCTAATTGATTTATAACGAAAACCTTTTTTTCTGCATCAGCCAACCTTAATTTTTCAACAGCTTTTGCTTCAGTTCCTTCTCCTGTAGAACGCAATCCTTGAAGATATGCGCTTAGAATGTGCCTCAAACCATATTCATTTAGCAAAACGGTGTTTTTCCTTTTTTTGCTCGATTCTGAAGAGTCTCCATATGACACACACGGTCTTCCTCTTTTACCAGAAGAAGTAGACGATGTAGAGTCCGTTGACACGTTTTCTGATGTTGGTATGGTTAACGAATATTCAGAATCCAACCAATTGGTGTTCTTTCTTAAAAAGGTATTCTTATTGCGTCCTGCTTCACTCCAGCGTTTATTAAACAATGGGACGATATCCCTTTGAATATGACCAATAATAAAACATATATTGTCTTCTGAAACTTGTTTTCCCTCCAAATATGTTGAAAGTGCCGCAGTCGTTTTTCCGCCTTCTATATAAGACACTATTAACTCACGTTTAGTACAGTTAAAAGTCGACATATTGAATAATGAAACAGCCGTACTAGAGTAGGTAGAAACGGTAATGGAGAAATATTTTTTCATTGCCCTTTTTATATTGTTTCAGAATGTGGGAATATTTCAGATATCTATTTTCTCACGAAAAATGACATCGAAATGATAAAAACTTAACAATATCAAATAATTAATTCATAAAACGTATCACAAGTTATTGATAATAAAAGTAAACTACGAAACCGCATTTGATAGCGATTTCCGTTCCCAGACTAGTATTCGATTTTTTCCCATATCTTCGTAAACCGCAAAAAACCGCAGCAATTTTTTTTATATGTTTTAGGTGAGTAACTAACCTATGAATTACCATTAAATTCAAAGCATCGGTAAACAACTCTAAATGGTAAAAGCTTCGACGAAGTTGAGGAAGGAATATTTTTTCCCCATTTTTTCTTGAAATTGGTTTTTAATTATATATTCGTATTAAAAACAATCAATTGTATTTATTTATTTCCTCTGACAGATGAGCTTTATAAAAATATGTAATACCTTATACCTTTCATTTCAAGTTTTAAAACTATTTCACCTTGAAAAACGTAAATAAACAACTAAATATTTCCCAATTGCTTAAACGTTTAACTTTACTACATGAAAAAATTTTATACCAAATACATTCATAAAGTGCCCAATTTCAATCAGTGATAAAAATCAATTTTGATATGCCTTTGTTCTACCATATTCAACAGTGCGACACGGTGACTGTTTAAACCACTACGTCATCAATGCAGTCAAATAAATTTACGATGTTTATGTTTGATAGTCTTCGGTTAATTTTAGGTAACCATTGATAAAACTGATAGCGTGATAATGGATTGAAATAGTTACCTACAAAACTGTCGTGTAGAATTTAAGCTGCCATTTTTTGTTAGTAAATATTTTTAAGCTAACTCCCTCTCTGTTTGTCTTAATAATCTTTTAGAAACGAACAAATTTGTTGACGTGCTATGCATTAATGCATTACTGAACATTTTATGATGTCGGGCTATGAAGGCCATGCCGGCGCGTGTATTCTATTATAAACAGGGCTTTCCTGTAAGGAGCTAATAGAGGCTGCCAAATATTCACGAATAGGTACTTTTGAATGCTGTGCGGTAGAACTGTTGGAACATAAAATACCCATAATATGTATCTACAGGACTAAACCTAAAACGGGAAATAGTAATGTATTTTTTTTTTTAAATTAGACTAATTATTGTTTGTATTGTTATGTTACACATTATGTTATATGTATTGTTGTCCGCCATCGTTCCACACGGCATTTTTTTTATGCTCATCACCTGGATAGTTGGCACTTCACTACTGTGCGCTTTTCGAGACACTTTTTGCCCCGCACAATCAATCTGTGGAACGGATTATCGTCTGCGGTATTTCCGGACCGATACGACTTTCAAATCTTCAAGAAAAGAGAGTTCTCGTTTGTGACTCCTGAGTTGCAGACGTTCATGGGCGGCGATGGTCTCTTTGCATCAGGTGACCTGTCTGCTCGTCTGCCCTCCAACATAAAAAAAAAGTAAAAATAACAATACGAATATTGTCATAGCCGGAGATTTTAATTTTGATATTTTGAAAAACAATAATATGACAGTGGAATTCAAATGTCTCCTGACTTCCTGATCCACTTTAATCTTAAATTAGATCAACCGACACGGATATCGAGCCAAACTTTTATCGACAATTTGCACATAATTTCCAAAGGCCGTGCAAGGCCGAAATCACAGAGTTCGCACTGTCTGATCACACAGCCCAGTTATTAAAATGTCCTATCAAAAATCGACGCACACTGAAATATTGGCGTAGGAGACAACGCGACTTAGTCTATGTCGGTCGAATGTCTACAAGGTTTATACTAACTTTTAAACTTTCGCGTTCCATGATAATTAATATTATTTAACGGGAATTAACGCGATCTCTTATTTAGGGTATTACATACCTCTGGTTTGCCTGACGTTTCGACCAGGTTGCACCGGCCGTGGTCACAGGCTGACTGAGTCAGCCTGTGACCACGGCCACGGACCACGGCACGGAGATCGCGTTAATTCCCGTTAAATAATATTAACTACAAGGTTTATCTTTTCAGGAAATTGAATTGAACTAGATGACGCCAACAAAGCCTACGATTTATTTCTAATTCAATTCAAATTATTTTATGACTTGTGCTTTCCCGTTCGTTTGATTACTGCTAGCGTGGAAACGGATTGACGTAGTTACCTACAAAAATGTCGTGTAGAATTTTGGCTGCCACATTCTAGGAACGTGGTCGACTAAGGAAGCTATACTCAGCTCCGGACCGATAGCAGGGAAGGCACTTTGCTTGTGGAATGTAAGCGAAAAGAAAGAATTAGCCGCGAGATCATCTGTTTTATTACAGGTGTGTGGTAAAAGGGGAAGCCGTGTCACAATGCATTGACTTCATCCTCCGATCCTTTTTCCCAAACTAGGTTGAAGTCGGCCTTAAGTCTAGTACAACACGGCTTGACTTCAATTTTTATCCTCCATAACCCAAGTACTAGGTGATAACGATGTTTTGTAAAAAACTGTTGTCACACTTTATAGGGCTCCAAATACCCGTAACGATTGCCACAAATGTTCAAATGGCAACTTTGACATTGCTTACGATACAGAAAGATCTCAATGTATTAAGTTTGATCATCCATCCATAGACTGACCTGACTAGGGTTGCTCAACTTTGCAATATGTTATCACAATTCATTTACTAAATAGGAATATACTTACTAAATGAAAGTGAGATGGCCCAAATTATAAATATAGCAGTCTTTGCACGTCCCGTAGTCGACTTGAACTTGAGCGGGAAGCAGATTGCGTACCAGCGGTCCACTGATATGAACGTCAGAGTCAGCACCGACACCGTCACGGACACAGACTGGAACAAAAATATATCTATTAATACAAACGATATTTTCGAGGCTCAAGAACCTCAGAAAGAAACTTTTTATGAGTTTGTAAGTATGTGTGTGTGTGTGTATGGTGATTAAAGTATCACCATGATAACACACACACAAACTGTGTGCCCAAAATTATTATCAACATCATCAGCCTATTGGCCGCCTCGGCTTCCCAACCAAGGAGCATCCCGGTTTTGGGCAATCCACGTCCATTCAAAATTATGATTGTATCTAATTAGTAAGGACGAGATTGTAACGTTTTAGGAAAAGAAATAAACTATGATAAAAGAAAGTGCGACTAACTAAGGGAGCGAAAAACACAGGACACCAGCACTGCAGAGAGAAGGAAAACTTGACACAAACCCTATACCAACCCGTCTGGCCAGCGTGGTATAGTAGGCCAAAACCTCCTTTCTAAGGTGAGGCCTATGTCCAGCAGTGGACTGTTAAAGGCTGTTGATGAAAAGAAAGTGTCTGAAAGTGTCAGGACCGACTTAAATTATAACTGACTGACTACCTGACTATGAATACATTACTGGGAACATAAAAGCTCGAAAACGCATATCATGATAGCTCTAGGGCAAAAAACTCACAAGAACTATTTTGATCAGAAAGCTCTAGGGTATATGTTATATTCGCAAGGAGGCGCGGGAGTTGAGTCGGAGTCCTGAGACTCGAGAAATCGAGGACCATAAATCAAAACCCCACCGGGTCCTGATAGAGGAGTAGGAGGAACGACTTGGGCAACCGAGCGCCGGGCCGGGAGGATTGGCTCGAGAGGCATCACGTAGTCGGTTTGAATCCGACACAGCTACCGGTAGGTGGTATCCGAGGGGATTCCGCACAGAAAAAAAAGGGAATATATTTTATACATAAAGCTTGTTAATTAAAATAGTTTTAAGGTAATATTTTCGCATTCTGGACCAATCCTTTTTTGTATGAAAATAACGTACAATTACGATGTAAATTTCTTGGATAACTTAAAGGCTATCCCGTAAACACTGTTCATTTTAATAAAAAATATACTAGATGGGTTTAATATAGTTATGTGTAAAAATATAGTCTAAACATCTAACATAACTTGCTCTGACTGACTGACTGACTGACTGATTCATCAACGTAGAGACAAAACCGTAGGGGATTGAGTAGTTAAGACCCACGGGTTGGTATAGGGTTTGTGTCAAGTTTTCCTTCTCTTGCAGTGCTGTTGTTCTGCGTTGTTTTGCAACCTTAGTCGGCTCTTACGACACCCACGGGATGAATTGGGGTAGTGACATTCCGTATTCTTAATCCGTCACTACACGGACAAGCGGTATAAAGGAACTCAAAAGTATAAAATATGGGATAACATCTTATCACACACTCACACGAGGAACAGGACACAATGAAAAATTTATCTTCGCCTTATGTGTAGAAAGAAAAACCTTTGTAGTTGCCTGCTGACAGTGTGTTTCTTCAACGATTTCTAGGAGTGATAATTATCAATAGTACCTGCATGTTAAATTGGTACACATACAACATATGATATTTATACATAATTGGACTGCATATTCTTTAAATATATATACAGAGTGTCACCACCCCTATTCGTCCCGTGGGTGTCGTAAGAGCCGACTAAGGGAACAAACTAAGCAGGACAACAGCAGAGAGAAGGCAAACTTGAAATAAACCCTTTACCAACCCGTCTGGCCAGCGTGGTATAGTAGGCCAAAACCTCCTTTCTCAGGAGAGGCTTATGTCCAGCAGTGGACTATTAAAGGCTGTTGATGATGATGATGATGATTCTTTAAATTTGTTCTCACAATCATCAGTCCTGTTAAAGGGCCTATTGGTTAAAAAAGTATAACAATAACTATCTGTCTAAAAGCAACTTTAATCGTACTGATGTCTTGTTCATTGCTCTGAAGTTTTATTTTTATATTTTTTTAGCATTATTTTTTGAAAATTTCGCCACTAATGGGGTAAAATAAGGGATGAACGATTGTGTGGAAGTTCGACATTTCCTAAGTTAGGAACACGAAATATTCACGCCAGCTACGTTTTCACAATAGCCCGTTATATTTGTATTCCCTAAGTATCCTCAAAGTATGTGTATCTCAAATCTTTTTCCTACAATAAGTAGTAGTATTTTCATGTTTATCTAACTTGATTCCATTATAAGTTAGAAATATGTTAGGAAACTGAGATTTGTTGAGATTGTTATAGGTGTTATAAAAGTGTTGTTATTTAGACGACAAATATATTTTGTTGTGTAGGTAACAATATTACTTCTTATAAGTTCCATTTCCTCTTGGGACGTTACTTATACAACACAGATACAGATAAACAATTTTCTTGTTTTTCATAATAAAACCAAATGTGAATCCAAGAAGATACTTCCGAGTTATCTCCTACACAGAGGCTATTCTACACCCTCAGATATGACACATCCACACCCCATACACACACACATACATGCACACACACACTCACATATAACATGAAAACGTTTATTACATTTATATAAATTCATATGTAACTATGCATGTTTTTGTCATTAATAAGTAAGACAACATTAACTGTGTAAATTTAATTTACAAGTTGTACAGGGCAATTTCAATCAAATTATGCATATATGCATAAAAAAACTTAGTGTCACTGGAAAGTAGCTTGTGCCTATATCTCAGGTTTTTAGGTACAAGCATATTTTATATGTAATTGTTTTAGTTAAAAATAGCGCCCCTTTAATTACTATATTCTGTATAATTTACCTTGAATGAATAAATATAAATAAAAATAATATCTCGCACATCTCAAACACGCCCGTCCGATCCCAAACTAGGCAGAGCCTGTACTATCGTAACCAGACTGCTGATAAACATACATACATATTTTTAAATACATACATATTATAGATAAATTACACCCAGAAACAGAACAAATGACCGTGATCATCACACAATATTTGTCCTGGGTGGGAATCGAACCCATGACGTCCAGCTTAGCAGTCAGGGTCACTAACCACTACACCAACAGGCCTGGCAACTAACACATAAATAAATAACACTAATAAATAAATAAATAAACTTTCTTCATGTGGTATTAAATAAAGTAGTTTCCCGTTCCACGCTTTTACATCTTTCAAACTACGCAACGGATTTTAATGAGGTTTTCTTTAACATACGAGTAGACAGTTATTCAAGAGGAAGTTTTATATGTATAATAATAAATTGCACCAGAGCGCCAGTGCGGATTAATAGTTTAGAATAAAACAGTGTTTGGTCAAAACTAATAAATAAATAATAATAGTCAATAAGTCCCAAACTAAGCAGAGCTTGTACTATGGGTACTAGACAACTGATATAAATATCTACAAATATCCTTTTTTTTTGTAAATATATACTTATTATACATAGACCAAATCAAACATTAAATGTTCATTCGGTCGTCAAACATACTATCATCTGCGTTTAGTCGTTTAGTGTTTGTAACATAATATATCCATATTAACATCACAAATATAACGTTCGAATATCAAACCCGGTATGGCGTAATGGTTTGTGTAACGGACTGCTATTCCAAAGGTCACGGGTTCGATTCCCGATCAAGTCAAACATTTGTTTGATTTGGTCTTTGCGTTTCTATGTGTAATATGTATGTATTTACAAAAAAAAAAGTATATATGTATTTATTTCAGTTGTCGAGTATCCATAGGATAGCTCTGCTTGGTGGTGGTAAAAAAAAACAGCCAACCGAATAATGTTTAAAAACTTAACTTAAAACTTAACTCAAATTAAAAACCAAAGTATTCCTTAAACAAACTAGTTTGGGTTCGACTTTAAGTATCACTCGGCAGTTGAGTTATGCCTATAAAATCTCAGTTACTTTTTTCTAACTTTAAATTAACAGAATACCATGTAACTTCTATGAGTAAATAAAATCTAACAGATGAAGGCACCATATTAATATCGGATCTCTCTAAGATCTCTATATTTCTGCAGCATCTGTACATTGGTCTATTTGAAGAATTGATTACAATTTTTATTTTAAACATGATATCAAATCATAACACTACTGTCCGTTTAAAAATTGCCAAGAAGATATTGCTAGCTATTGTCATGAGGTTATCCATTTCACATGTTCAATGAAATAACATTGTTTCATAAAGCACAGTACAATAAACTCCATTTGTTTTTGTTTCAAAACAATATTACAATACGTAATTTTTATACCACGGATAGAACTTTTACTTGTATAGAAATTATTTGGCTAATCTGTGAGCTTAACTAAACTCATTAAACAAAACTCTTGGTTCTATTGTTTTGTTCGAAGTCTGTTTTCGTTTTCAATAAGACAACCACCTGAAGTATTTTAACCTTGTAAATACTAACCAAATCTACAGCTAGCTTAGTATTTGCGAGTATAATATTAGGTCTTTACCTATGAAATGCCGTTTTGTATGCAGTAAGTGAAAGTACTTATTTTTTCAAACTTTTTTATTTCTATTATTCGAAGTAATCACCCATGCAATCGACGCATCTTTGCTAACGCATTGGCAGTTTATTGATGCCCTTCTTGTAAAAATCAGCTGGACGGGAGGCAACAAAATCTTCAAAGGCGTTTTGTACTGTCTCTCGGGAATTGAATTTTTTACCCACTAAAAAGTTGTCTGAATTTTGGAAAAAGTAATAGTCGGTAGGTGCAAGGTCTGGTGAGTACCAAGCAACCAGCTTTGGCCAATCGGTCGTCCCCACTGCTCCTTCACGACAACGCGCGACCCCATACTGCGCAACAGACAGTCTCCAAGCTGCAAGAGCTGGGGTTAGAAGCTCTCTCTCATCCACCATACTCACCAGACCTTGCACCTATCGACTATTACTTTTTCCAAAATTTAGACAACTTTTTAGTGGGTAAAAAATTCAATTCCCGAGAGGCAGTACAAAATGCCTTTGAAGAGTTTGTTGCCTCCCGTCCAGCTGATTTTTACAAGAAGGGCATCAATAAACTGCCAATGCGTTGGCAAAGATGCGTCGATTGCATGGGTGATTACTTCGAATAACAGAAATAAAAAAGTTTGAAAAAATAAGTACTTTCACTTATTGCATACAAAACGGCAATTTCATAGGTAAAGACCTATTAATAATAACCTCACACATTTCACACACGGCTGTCTGATCCCAAACTAGGCAGAGCCTGTTTTATTGCAACCAGACTGCTGATAAACATACTTATTTATTTCTAAATACATACATATAATAGATAAATTACAATCAGACACAGAACAAACAACCGTACTCATCACACGATATTTGTCCTGGAAGGGAATCGAACCCACGACCTCCGGTTTAGCAGTCAGGGTCACTAACCACTAGACCAACAGGCCCTTTAAGTTTACTTGGTTTATTGTAATTTTTGTTAATCCTTTGAGGTATCCCTTGCGAACTGTTTTACTCGATGTAAGGTCCCCTTATCATTATTTCAGTGCTGTGACTAAGGAAATGAAATATTTCATTACGATTGATTCAGTAGCTTAAACACACTAACTAAATATTAATAAAGAGACTATTAATTAGTTCGCTTAGCGTTTTTTTAATGAGGAGACTGTGTTAATTAGTCAAATTTAGGACTTTCTTGTATAAAATTATTACTTTTAAATCCGAACGACAGGCTATAATCGGCAGTATTAATCTGTAACCGTATTTAATGTTTGATATTAAAATATTACTAAAAACTTTTATATACGCATTGTGTAGACTACAGAAATTAATACCCTAATTAATAAACTGTAAACTTGTTGATCATCATCATCATCATCATCAACAGCCTATAATAGTCCACTGCTGGACGTAGGCCTCTCCCTAGAAAGGAGGTTTTGGCCTACTATACCACGCTGGCCAGACGGGTTGGTATAGGGTTTGTATCAAGTTTTCCTTCTTTTTGCAGTGCTGGTGTCCTGCGTTGTTTTGTTGATCAGACAAGATTAACTCTCTATATCTTGGTACAAACCTACTCACCAAAATTTTCATCAATCACAACGTGTAAAGGTGAACTAAAGTTTTACCACACTCTGTCCTGTTATAGAAAGCGCACCCTCTCGAGAACACGATGGCAAACAGAGAGTCACCACCCCTATTCATCCCGTGTGTGTCGTAAGAGCCGACTAAGGGAAAAAATTACGCAGAACTACAGCACTGCACAGAGAAGGAAAACTTGACACAAACCCTATACCAACCCGTCTGGCCAGCGTGGTATAGTAGGCCAAAACCTCCTTTCTAAGGAGAAGCTTATGTCCAGCAGTGGACTGTTAAAGGCTGTAGATGATGTATATTTATGTATACGTATTTATTTATGTGTATATAAATACTTTTGTATTATATGTATTAGTACCATTATCACATATTGTGTTTGTGTTTATTAAAAAATATATTCTAATGTAATTTATACATATAAGTACTCTGGGTATAGATATTCTATATATGATATATTTATAAAATGTCATTTTTAATTTTTTTGCATATACCATGTTTGGCTCTGCATCGTCCTATGGTCGACTGGTAAAAAATGCATCTTTGCCACATTAGTGCATAAAGATTAAATAATTAAAATTAATAACTCGGATTAAGTTACAAGACTTTATGCATAGTAACAATGAAGCGAAGGTAATTAGTAGTAACATTACTATAGATTTTTTTTTATGTTAGAGGGGGCAGACGAGCAGACGGGTCACCTGATTTAAAGTGACCATCGCCGCCCATGAACGTCTGCAACTTTTAGGAAGGAGTACGCTCTTTTCTTGGAGGTTTGAAGGTCGTATCGGTCCGAAAATACCGCAGATGATATCCCGTGCCACAGATTGTTTGTGCGGGCCAAAAAGTGTCTCGAAAAGCCCACAGTAGTGGACCGCCAACTATCCAGGTGATAAGGATGCCGTGTAGAAAATTATATATTTAGTAGATTAATATTTAGCGTTACTAAGATGAATTGAATTATTGCCACACTAATACGTCTAATAAACTGTACTTGTCTGTAATGTGCTGACAATATTTTACAACTAGTTAAGTTAAGTAGTATTTTTTTTTACAAAAAATTATATAAAGTCCGGTGTTGCATAAAAATTTAACTTGATGTCAGAATTGGGATATGAACCCACGCCCTCATGCAAATAATTAGGTTAAATATGTAAGTTATCACCTATATTCTAGTTCTATTGATTCTAGGCTTGACAATGCACACACGTATGCATTATGTGCTATCTGTCAATGTATGAGAAAAAATACGAAAAAAAAAAAGAAAAATTGTAAGAACATCACTCACAGTATGTTATTTTTAAATTTGAATTTAAGCACGATATTGGAATACATTAATTTTGACATTTCGTTTTGACACAAAAAGAGGCGACTACTAACGCATATTGGGCCAAAATTAATTTCCCTAATCCTTTTCAAATAAAATGTCAACATGTCTGAAACCGTCAGTTTCAGTGACGCTCATAAATTAAAATTAATTGCGTCACATTTTGTTTTAAAAATTAAAACTACAATTGTAATTATTAATTATTAATTGTATTATAAGTTATGGCGACTAACAAAATTTAATGCTGACAGTCATTAAAACGTGTTCAAAGTTTAGAAACGATAAAACAATTTTTAACAAGTGCAAGTTTTGTCACAGATTATTTATAACTTTAAATGTATGTAAATAAATAAAACATAATATTTGCCCGTTTATAATAAAACAATCAAAGTTGTTCTAAATACACAAAAAAAGAACATTTTAACTTTCCTCAAAACTTTCATTGGTAGATTAGGTAGAAATCAGTAGAAATTATCATTTATTTAAAACAGTAAATTCCACAGAATGCTTGGTTTAAAAAAAGAAGTTAAGAGTTGAGCAAGGTTATGAATTACTACACGGATGGCGCAGTGGGTTAAACTGTCACCTCGCTGCTTCCTACTGCGCCGAGTGTTGTGGGTTCGATCCCCACATGAGACCACACTTTTTATGATCCACACATTGGGACTGAGTGTCTTTTATGCCCGTTTCGTGTTTGTGTGTATCATCATGACATAGCATACATTTCAAGCGCGGGAGTTGTTATTTTTAAATAAAGAAATAGGAATGTGAGTTTGCTGTTTCTATGTAACAACTTAAATGGTTACACAGCATGGTACCTCGTATACATGTTTTGTACGCGGATAACTTTAATAGCCTGCCTACCGTCAGCATTATTGTGCAACTTGTTCCCAAGAGAAGAGTGGTTCCATCGCGAGCCAAGCCGCAGTCGACTGTAGTAGAGGCAATACAAAATAAAAATACATTACGTTGTTAGGTTCAAAAGTTTGTGGTAATTCAAGGCAATAAGAAATAAGAATTTCTTTTTAAAAAATATCTGGGTTTCCTTTCACATGACTATTTCAATTCAAAATTTATATTAAAACGTTTTTATGTTAAAATTAGTGACTGAAATTATATGTACACCTACAAACCTATTCAAACAATACAAAGTAAAGAAATTTAATTAACAAATCTAAGGAAAATGAACGAATGAATGAAGAAGAAATGTTGATAAAATCACGTTGGCACGATATTTATTTAGCAAAAAATATTTTTTCTTTAATATTTTGTACGCTGATTTCGGCTTGATATATTTCAATGAGACATTAACCCACATGTAGTTGATATTTAAAGAAGTATGTACTACTAAGGGGATTTAAGAACAAGTTGAAGAGATGTTGACAAATTTGCGAGTACGCCAAATGTTTCGTCCATCGAGGTCAGACATAACATTTATTTACTTTTAACGTTGTTTACTATTGTGATCATACAGATAGACGACACGGATTGTGTAGTGGTGTAAGCGGTTGTCACACCGCTTCTTAAAACGCTGAGTGTTATGGGTTTGATCCCCACATGGGGTGACACTTTGTGTGATCAACAAATTGCTGTTCTGAGCGTGGGTGTTCTTTGTGTCCGTTTCATGTATTTTTGTTAAGTCTCCCGCGACATAAGATTTGTTCTTTGTGCGGGAGTTGTTTTTATAATAAAAAAAAAGTTACTTATTATAGTTTTTTAACAATACATATAGAAAAAATAATCTCACCTGGAAGTAGAGCAGAATTTTGCACAAAGCACTTCCAAAGAACCACGTCTCCGTTACATCCCAAAGAACTGTTGGAGGCAAACAAAATAATATCACCATGAAATCAGCTACAGCCAAATTCACTATGAAGTAATTTGTCACAGTTCTCATAGAATGGTTTTTATATACTGCCACACACACTAAAGCATTTCCCACTAATCCAATAATGAATACTATTGTATGAGTGCCTATTAGTATCCATTCGTATGTGTTTGGATATATGTATTCATTCAACATCCTAACATATTCTTCTTCTGTCAAATTGCAATACTCTTTTAGTCCTATACATTCTTCTGTTACATTATCAGTAGCTGGACCTTCTGTGTTTGTAATTTTCTGAGTCTTGTTATCATCGTTTACTGCTCTTTTGAATCTTTCATATGATTTTATATGTTTTTCAAATCTGAGAAATGTATCAGTTTCTTTGTTATAGCGAACATCTTTAATGTCGGGTGTAGCAAGACAAAGAGTTAGGCCTAAGGCGAGCACTATTGCCTTTGTAAAAAACATCTTTATGGTATGGCTTTTAAGTGTCTTCTTTCTTGCTATTTAAGCTCGTTGCAAGTCTGAAACAAATAAAAATTGCATTAATGAAGTTGGCTACTCAGAGGCGTACGTAATTGCCAATAAAAATTTATTCCACTCATGAATTACGTGGCCATGAAAACACTTAGCCACTCTGGTGAATCAAAGATGAGTAAATAAAAAAATGTCCGTGTAGTGATTAATTAAGAATACGGAATGTCACTACCCCAATTCATCCCGTGGGTGTCGTAAGAGCCCCAAACAACGCAGGACACCAGCACTGCAAAAAGAAGGAAAATTTGACACAAACCCAATACCAACCACCGTCTGGCCAGCGTGGTATAGTAGGCCAAAACCTCCTTTCTAAGGAGAGGCTTATGTCCAGCAGTGGACTATTAAAGGCTCGTTGATGTGATGTGATGTGAAATAAAAAATATATATTTAAATAATGGTATGTTGATCATATGAATGGATTACGATGTGTAAACAAAGGCATAAGAAGGTCATCGTATACCTGTAGATCAATCTTGGCGGGAAATTCAATTTTGCCAGGGATTTAAAAAAAAAAACAACCACATATATTTAGGGTTTGTGTTAGTACTAGATTCAGATTAATAAAGACATGAATACAATTATTAGTCTCTAATAATGCTAAAAACCAAATATCGTGCGTACAAAGTAGCGGGCATAGCTGGTGATACAACAAAGAGCCTTATATAAATAACGAACCGGTTGTCAGAATCCGTTTGATGAAAAGGTCTTTGTACGATTTTCATAATTTAATCAAACTGATTAGGCACGTCATTGGCTTGAGTGGTAATAAATGATAAGCCAAATAAATCGATATTCGCGTCGCGTCCATACACAACCACACCTGTTTGTATTCTTTATGACGTCTAAGCTCCATTAATAATGTTTTATTACTAAATGAACCTATTATTACACAGCAATTTTATTTTTACTCTCTTTTATATTGCTGGAAAAGTCGATGTTATTTTCCAGTTACACTATATTAAAAAGGTTGGTAATGCATGCATGTCACCTGATGGTAACTAACTAATACCACAGATAGACACCTATTAATGATTGCATTCTTCACTTTAAACGATATTACCGCTCTTTAACCGACTAAGAGTTACCTGTCGAGTCTATTCATTAGCATATTTAGAAAAAAAAAGCCGTGTGGTGTTGTGGGACACCCGATAGGAACGAAGTTGTGACGATCAAGTAAAACTGATTCGACGTGATTTTAATTACAACGCCATCTATGAAAACGGCTATTACCTACATATTTTTCAGTTGGTTTCTAATTAAAACAATTTATATATTGGTAAAATCTCCTTGAGAAATGATGTCGAATACAATATTTTTTGCTCAACCTAAGAACTTAAATTTTAATTTTACTGAGATGAAAAGTAATGATTTCCTATATATTCGATAGATGGCGCTGAATGACTGAAAAGTGACAATTCAAAATAAAAAGTGTCGTTACAACTTTTCGTGAGATTTTTTTCCGTCTAGCCCCCTTTCACAACGCGCGATAAGGAACTTCGTTCCAATATGCTTATAGTGGTTATGACTTACAGTTTTCTGTAGCCATTCACCGTTTGGGTGATTCGACTCCAAACAAAATCCTTATAAACTTATTTATTATAGTTTAAACTCCTGTACTTCTTGGTCTTCTTCCTCCGAGCCTCTTTCCAAAACAAGGTTGGAATTGGCTTTAGCCAAAGCCAAGTTTTGAGAGCTAGAGTCTACTACGATACTTACATGAAGCGACTACCATCAGACCTCTACATCTAAGTACTAGGCGATATCGAACTTCTTTAGAAAGGCTGTTGTTGAACTTTTTTAGGCACGCAGGGGTTTTAATGTGTTAAGAGTGGTCACCCATCCATAGACTGCCCTGGCTATAATTACTTAACTTTGCAATGTGAACTCGGTTACCATTTAGCCACAAGCCCTACTCCATAGTAATTCAAAAAAATAACACACAGCACAATAACATACAGCACAATTATTTAACTCTGTGATGATATGAAATTGACTTTTTGCCCTTATCACACTCGTGTTCACTATTCAATTGTCACTGCAGCTAATCTATCGGATCATGATATCTGAGGATCAATATTGCCGAAAACCCCTTATAATTATGTTTATCTTCTCTTGTTGATAACATAGCTTACATTAGATAATATTAGGCATATATCTGATTATTATTTATTTAGGAAAATTAATTCGAGATAGTTATGAATTAGTGGTATAGAAAATATTTATATTTTTGATTAGAGAATTGCTTAGTACAATTAGAAAATGACGAAGCAAAACTCTACAGATGTCCTAAAGATATTAAGTGTACTCATTTTCAGAGCAAGTGTCTGAGTCTTAATTTTAATACGAGTTCGTCCAAAGAATAATAATAATAACCTCGCACATCTCACACACGGCGTTCCGATCCCAAACTACACAAAGCTTGTACTTTGGTAAAGAGACTGCTGATAAACATACTTCAATCAGTCAATCAAAGAGCCTTTAATCCGGAACATTTAAGATGGATTTCTGAAGAACTGTAAAATTCTGTCTCTTAGTTCAAAGTTCCTCTTGGCATATGCCGCCTCTAATATCTTCGATTCTATCTAGCAATTGTGCTGCAGTTGGGACAAGCTGCTTCCTCTTTCCCTTCTACTGCCTTCCTCTGTTCCTTTTACCATCTCTAGTGTACTATTCTATAGTGAACTATGTCCGTGTGGTGACAGATTAAGAATACGGAATGTCACCACCCCTATTCATCCCGTGGGTGTCGTAAGACTAAGGGAACAAACTACGCAAGACAACAGAACTGCAAACTGAAGGAAAAGTTAAAACAAACCCTTTACCAACTGGCCAGCGTGGTATAGTAGGCCAAACCCTCCTTTCTAAAGAGAGGCCTATGTCCAGCAGTGGGCTAGTAAAGGCTGTTGATGATGATGAAGTATACTATTCAGTAAGTATCTTGGTCTATTTTTTTGGGTACTTCAGAGTAGATCTCCACTTCAGTTAGAGTCACTCACCACTAGACCTACAGACTATGTGTTTCGGATCATTAATTACCTGTGTGTTTTACTGGCGTCAATTAAACAACCTTTTTCTATTAATCATCATCAGTTACCTTTAACCCAATTTTATTTGGGGTTGACGGAGTATATGTGATTCTTTTATTCTAAGCTTTCATTCGTCATTTCACTGTTTACCCTCCCTCCCTAGCCATATCCTCTTTCACACAGTCCATCCTTTTCTTTCATCTTCCTCTTCTTTTGTACCCTTCAACTCCCATAACTACTTTTTCACCACATTTTCCTCATTCCTCCAAGATACAATATATTTTATTTGCATAAACATGTGTTCATTAAAGATGTTAAATAATATTGCCTGATCAACATGTTTGACTGTTATCGGTGTTCAAACACAAAAATTGCTTTGACAATACTATTTGTCTATAATACTAACGCAGTCATTATAACTTGTGAAATTAAATCATTTAATAACAATAAACACGTAAAACAACGACAAACAGTTACAACGAAAGGACTGGAATATCATGATTATATTATAGGTATATATTATTAACTATTAACTGTCTATATTATTTTATTTAAATATTCAATATTAATATATTTACCGCATTCAATAATCCTTCAACATACAAAAAAGCGAAAAAAATAAACTTTTCTATCACTTTGTATTAATTGCTTAACTCTAATAATGTGAAGCCAAAACAGGTTTATTTTTGTAATTTATTACCATTCCAGTGACAAGGAAAGACCGACAGGTATAATATTTATAATATCAATATTTATATACGAAGCTATAACTAAATCGCAGGTACAAAGATAATATAATATATAATAATTTAAATCGGACTACTGATTGATTCGTCTTTGCCAGTTCAAATAACTTCAAAGCCAAGTTAACGTAACATCTGTGTTGCATTTCTGCTTTACACGTGTCCATCGTGACCTCATTACTATATAAATGACAATACACAGAATTTACAGCAATATTTTTGTTAACAACATATACTCAGTTCGAATGTCACAGGTGGCGGAAATCCCTTTCGCCAAACAAATACATAAATCACATCTGAAGTATTTTAAATGTGTGTTGATATTTTCATTTCATAGTAAATCTTTTAAAATAAATGTTATAACGGCGCCAGAAAAACGTGAATTATGTACGTAATAAACAAGTTTGTTAATGTTAAAATCCGTACAAGTATAAACTTGTGAGGATTTTAACATTTTATTTAAGAATCCATTATGTTCTGAATATAGAAGTTAAGTTTGTATTTGAAAATAAATAGTTTCATCAATTATTGATATTTTTACCAGAGTGGTAAGGCGATCACTGTTGGATTTTGGGACAAATAAAGTAAGAATGAGATGTATTAATATTTATATCTAGACCCAAACCATCATCATCATCATCAACAGCCTTTATTATAGTCCACTGCTGGATATTGACCTCTCCTTAGAAAGGACGTTTTGGCCTACTATACCACGCTGGCTAGACGAGTTGGTATAGGATTTGTGTCAAGTTTTCCTTCTCTTTCAGTGCTGCTGTCCTGCCTATTTTGATCCCTTGGTCGGCTCTTACGATACCTATGTGATGAATAGGGATGGTGCCACTCCGTATTCTTAATCCGTCACCAAACGGATAAGACAAACAATTGCTCATAATCAAATGAACCGTTCATACGCTTCGTAACTAGATATAGCAACGCAAAGAAACGTCCGCATATATTAAAATATTGTTCAAGCATTACTTGAATTTGATAGACCCTCTTTGTCTCACTAAGTAACAATTTACTTTGATATCAAGTTACTTTGTGGTACCAAGAGTCAATAGACTGCGTCTTTTGTATGTCGGGATATTGTCTTACACAGGGGGGCGTGTCAACAAGTTATACAGACATCCATGTTTGGTTTTAATTCAGAGATATAATTTAT